CTCAGAGGAATTTTCCAGCTTTACATCAGAGTGGTTTAACAATCAATTTCTCTTCCTAGGGGATTCTGGGAATTGCAGCTCTGTGAGGGAAAAGTGGTCTCCTAACAACTTTAGTGCCCTTAACAAACTATAGTTCCTAGGATTCTTTGGGAGGGGGACCATGATTCTTAAAGAGGTATCATACTGCTTTAGATGTAAAGTGCAGATATGACAAGAGAAAGTTCAGATAGCAAAGGAAGGTGCAAGTCAGACCTTTGCCCACCTGACTCAGTATTGTTGACACTGCTTGTCAGCAGCAATTCTCCAGGCTTTCAGAGAGGGTGTCTTCCCCAGCGCCACCCAGAGATGCTAGTACTCAGGTCTCTCCTTCTCTCAGACCTCAGTCTCTGCAGCTCGGGAGATGTCGGTGGGTTACTACACCCAGAGGCCGCCTCAGCCTCTCCTGACCCAACTGGTAGTGGAGCAGTTGTAAGTGATTGCCCAGCTGAAGTCAACAAGGTAATCCACGCATCTGGAGCCAGGGCAGGCTCAGGCCCCTGACTCGGCCCAGCTGGTGCTTGTTGAAGGGGAACCTGTGCAGACTGGGGCTCTTCAGAATCAGGCCCCAGAGTCTGTTCAGATGCCGCCTGAGGCAAAGGATCTGGTGCAGACTGAGACTCCTCTGGTTCCGAGTCTGAGCCCGAGTCCCAGGCTGTCACAGAGTAACTAGAGTGTGATATAGCAAGAGAGGAGGCTTCCCAGGTACCCTGGTTCATAAGTGTATAGGGCTTCATACACTGTTAGTAAATCAAACTTCGGAGCTTAAGATAATCTGCAGTTGTTGATGTTGTTACATTTATACCCCAAATTTCCTCCAGGGATCTCGAGGTGACATGTTTGGTTACCCTGCTCTCCACTTCATCCTATAAACATCCTGTGAGGTAGGTGTGGTTGAGAGACAGGGACTGGTTCAAGGCCACTTGGTGAACTTCATGGCTTTGTCTGGATTTGAACCCTGGTCTCTCAGGTTCTAGTCTAACACTCTAACCTGGTGGCATACAAGGAAGGCAGGAGTGGGACAAATTCAGAGCTGATCTCAGTATCTAACCTAGTTTTGAGCCCAGATCCTCAGGACAGACTGCTCATGGGTAGAGGTGCACAATGGCTGAACTGATTATTTCACTGGCTCGGTGGCATATTGGTCACCTCTGTGTTTGCCTGATGAAGCAGAAGATCCTTTCTGCAATTCCCACTGGGTTTCCTGCATCCCTCAAGGTTCTGTTCCGCTGCTCATGCCATCCATTGTATGTATGCAGCCTACTGAGGATATCATGAAACGCTGAAATGAGTAATCTCAGTCATTTGCCGGCTGATAACACAGAGATATATATCCGTTTGCCTCGTGGCTCCTGGCAGCTCTTGGCTGTGTTCCTAGTGGAATGCCTAAATGATACAGCCAATGGAATGTGTCAAAGCTGCTACATACTAGGGGTGGACAAATTAGTTTATTTCCATTCTGTGTCAGTTTCATACGAATTTAATAAGTCTGCCTCATCCTGTTTACTGTGGCCTTTTCATGTTCAAATTATACACATTTTTTAAGTGTGCGTTCCCCTAAAATGCATATTGTGTACATTAATGTGCAGTCTATTGGTTAACTGTGTTCCAATTCATGTATAAATCCAGATAATGTGAATTAGGCTGGTTCACTTTTAAATATGAAGCACTGGAAATTCTTCTGTTTCTTGCATTATACTCAGTCTGGAAAAAAGACAAAAGAGATGCCAGTAGAATGATATGATGATTCTGGATGAGTATTGTTATTTTATTTCTTCTGTCTTGCTTGGCAGACAGGTAGGAAGTCAGGTATAGAGAGACTTGGCTTTGTCCTTCAAAATGACATTTCAGTGACTGCTTAGGAATATTAGAGGAATTTCCAAAGATCCTTATGCTGATGAACAGCACATGAAACGGATGTCTGTGTTTGTTCCAGGTTGACCTGGCCACAGTAGACAGGAGAGAAGCTTTCCTTCTGTCTTTTGAACTTGTGGTGGGTTCTCCTCTATATTTCAGGTCACTCGGAATGGAGGCAGCTACATAAGCAACCACTTGTTGATTTCAAAAGAGTGCTATTTGTTGGAAGTGGTGGGAGACTAGGCCCAGTTGATCCTTCCAGGTTTCCACTGTGTATGTAAGAATGTGGGGGTTGTGACACGCTGGAGTCATCTAGTTCTGGGGTCCCCAGTGTGCATTCCATGGGCACCATGGGGAATCTTCTAGTCCAACCCCTGTGCATTTCAACAAAGATTGAGATTGAGAAGGTGCCCTCAGCCATAGCCTTTCACACATTCCAAGGCCTTTCTCAATTTTTAAATTATTTTAGGGGGCTTTTTTTACTTGGTTTCTTTGAGGGGATACCTTTGTTTGGGAGGGTTGCCTCCTTTTTGGTCTGTTTTATTTTTTTTGGGGGGGGGGGTATTGTAGATACTCTATGCAAAAGACCCTTACTTAGCTCCACACAGTGACTTGCCTATCCCATGCTGTCATTCAAGGGCAGGTTGGGTGGATCACCATGTCATACATGTGGAGGAAAACCTTAAACATGTAGCAGAGTTCCCAAAAATAGACCATTGGCATTATTTCATCCAGGAGAACTTTACTTGTGCTGAAGGCAAATAGGCATAATGTTCACAAATCCAGTACGTTCAGGATTGGCACAGTCCATGAGAAATCTAGTTGCAGCACTTACAAACCTTATAAGCTTATAACAAGTTACCTTAACAATAAGCATACTATGTACAGAACACCACACCAGAAGGAAGAGAGATCGAAAGAGAAAGTGAAACCGAGGCTCCTTCTGGCCTTTATTTACAGTCAGGATGACCTTAATTGGAAGAGATAAGTGAACTAGTTCAAACCAGCTTCCCAGAAGGTATAACCCAAACAATCATGAAGGCGCCTTCATACAGAGAAGCTTCCAGTAGCTTCCAGAATCCTCTTGAATTAAGCAGAATAGGAAAGATCTCCACACATCAGATCAATACTTTCTGCACTAAGAAATGCAAACTGACACACCACTCCAAGAAAAACCAAGTCATGGATGTTTGAGCTGAGATTATTGCATCACAATCCCTTGGATTAAATGACTCTTGAGGTCACTTCCAACTCTATGGTTCTCTATGAGGCAGGGGCTGGCCTTAGCTGGAGCTTTATGAAGCTGGCTCCCATGGGCTAGAACTCCCATGGGCTAGAAGAAGCAGAGGTACCCCATGCAACTTATTCTTTCCCCCATATGGAGTGGGGGGGGGAGACACAACTCATCCCCCATCAGCACATGACCAGCGGTTGCCACTCATTAACCAAACACTACTTAGGGAGAAAAGCTTCCAGTACAGAGGTGATGGCTCACAAGGGTGTTGCTCTCCTTCTATAAACTGGGCTCTGTGGACTCCCTCTCTAGCCAAGATCGATCACAGCTCCCGATAGCCAATCATCTAGAACCACCTTTGAGAAGGGACTGCACGGCTTGAGCATACTGTTTAATAGCCACCAATGTTCTTACATTCCAGTCATCTCAGAAACTCTGTTGCATGGAGATGTGAAATGGCTTTGGTGGAAGAACAGCAGCAGCAGCAGCAGCATGGGATGTCGGTTTGTAAAGACGACCGACAAGAGAAAAATGGAAACAAGATGGAGAAAATGTCTTTAAACCTACAGTCAAATATATGGCTCCAGTGGAGAAAATAAACATGGCACAGGCTTTGAGTGCTGCCAGAGTATAATATAAATCTTAGGGGGAGGTATTACTGCTAGCTAAGGCTCTAGTTATACCTCAGCCAGGCCATTTTCGACAGCATTTGTCACAATACCTCAGCAAGAACATAATTGCCCTTGAGCCTGCAAAGAGCAGAACAGCAAGACTAATATCCTTTGAGATGTGTCATAGATGAAGGTTAAAGGAGTGCTCTTTAATGGGCCCAAAAAGAGAGACTTTCCAATATACCCAGTGAAGCCACTCCGTCTTGGCTAGAGTGAAGAATGTGAAAGCGAAGCTTTGTGCGGTCGGTGGGGAAGGAGACGTGGTGGTATGTTTTTAAAGGCTGCTCCTTTGTATTTCTTTTTCCTTAAGAAAGGAGGAAAAGAACCACTTGGTATATTTTAAAACTTGAAATGCTTCTAAGGAGAGACATTGTTTGAAATGTAAAGCAACAGAAGCTGCGGCAAGTTGCGGGAAATGGATGTGGCTCTGTGGTAGACCGTAAGGGAGCTGGTCCTGGAGGAAGAACTGTAAGGGGAAAGACTTTGTCAGGCAAGGCCTCCTTCCACCTGCCTTGCCCCACCCTCTAGTCTCTGCTTCTCAATTTGTATTGTATCATTTTATGTACTGTGGCTTGCCGTTGTTTTATTGATTATAGTTTAGAAAATATTTATTGTAACTGTTGAGCGGATTTCTGATTAACTTTCATATGTTGATATTATTATTTTATACTATTCTAATGATTGTTGAATGTTACTTTTTTGATGTAAAGGTAAAGGGACCCCTGACCATTAGGTCCAGTCGTGACCAACTCTGGGGTTGCGGCTCTCATCTTGCTTTATTGCCCGAGGGAGCTGGCGTACAGCTTCTGGGTCATGTGACCAGCATGACTAAACCGCTTCTGGTGAACCAGAGCAGTACACAGAAACACTGTTTACCTTCCCGCCGGAAGCACTTTGAACTGCTCGGTGGGCAGGAGCAGGGACCGAGCAACGGGAGCTCACCCCGTCGCGGGGATTCGAACTGCCGACCTTCTGATTGGCAAGTCCTAGGCTCTGTGTTTTAACCCACAGCGCCACCTGCGTCCCACTTTTTGATGTAGGTTGTTTATTTTAAAGTTTTATTTTATGATCACATTTTTGCATTGCATTAGATTGTTATAAGATGTACATTTTTTGTTTCTTCAGCTTGTAAACTGCCTTGAGTATTGTAAGATAGAAAGACGGTATACAAATTAAAAATGATGATGATGATCCACTTTGCAGAAGGCCCCAGGTTTAATCCCTGGCTGGAAATATCCTCAGCCTGAAATCCTGCGGAGCTACATACTGGTCAGTGAAAACAGTACTCAGCTAGTTGAATGAAGGGTCTAACTCAGTATAGGACCTTTGGGGATGAGGTCAAACTGTTAGAAGGCTACAATGCCTTTGGTGGCTGTAGAGATCAAAACAAGAGGGACATGAGGCAGATGAAGGTGTCCAGTTGCTGCAGATACACCATGACATTTCTTCTCTCTGTGCTCCTCCCAGCAGTCATTCCTCCTGTGGTCACTGCTATGGATGCATGACCTGACTTTCTATCTCCAGACTCTATGGTTGCCTGCAAAGGAATTGCCATATGGTGGGCTTCATGTTGCCAGCCTTCATGTCACGCTTGCAGACATCTTTGTAACTCATAGTTGGTCTGCCAAAAGGCAAGGTGCTTGAAGCCAGCTCTGCATAGAGCAGCCTTTCTCAACCTTGGGTCCCCAGATGTTTTGGGACTACAACTCCCATCATCCCTAGCTAGCAAGGCCAGAGATCAGGGATGATGGGAGTTGTAGTCCAACAACATCTGGGGACCCAAGTTGAGAAACACTGGCGTAGAGCATGTCCTTGGGGATCCTGCGATCTTCCATTCGGTGGACATAACCAAGCCAGCATAGACGTAGCTGAGACAGGAGTGTGAACATGCTGGGACTGTGGGGCCAGGAGAGTACATCTTGGTTTGAGACCCTGTCCTGCCATGTTAGGCCCCAAGACCTCCTGATGCAGAGCATGTGGAAAGCATTGAGGTGTCACTTCTGACAGTTCTAAGTTGCCCACAACTCACTTCCATAAAGCAGTCTGCTCAACACACAAGGAAGATCTTCCTCTTGGTATTGGACGTTAGCATCACACTCTTCCATATCTTTTTGGAGAGACAAGCCATTGCCGTAGCTGCCCTACCAATACGCTTGAACAGCTCAGAGTCGATGGAGAGGTTGTTTTAAACCACAGCTGCCAAAACTCCACCCAGGGCCCACCTGGATTTTCTTTCTGATTAGCCCTTTATTCACAAGCAGTCCTCCTCTGCCACTGAGCACTTCTGACTGAGAGGGACTGCATTTTGAGGAACCATCTCTCCCCAGGGTTCAGGGCTTGTTCTGCCTCTGTTTCAAAGAGTTCACTTTCTTTGGGCAGAGACCCTTGCAGGTCTTCCTGGAGGGTTTGCCAGATCCTCCTCGTCCATTGTTCTTTGCTGTCCCTGACTAAGGCCACCTTCTGGGAGCCCCAGACCCTCTTCAGAAAAGGAGTTCTCTAATGTGGGCATGACACACTGTTTCCAATGCTATCTGATGCGCCACAGAGAAACATGGAAGGATACTAAAAATTGCCACAGTTTCAAAATACACTGGGTTGTGGCGGGCCACAGCAGATACCTGAGGTACTGCTCTAAGATCTTTAAAAGACTGCTTGTAGCCAACATGCCAGGCACCTAGAGGAGCAGAGTTTATAGGAAGGGGTTTCCTGAACCTGACATTTACTTCTCTCCCCACCCAACCCTCTACCCGAAATCAATGAATTCACACGAGATGCCGTGCCAAAAATATATCTTTAACAGCAGCATTCGGTCAATCAATTCTCTTCTTTCTTGCATGCTGCCTTGAGAATGCTTATTAAACTATTCTGAGAGATCTAGGGGCTATTGATCCAAGATGGACATATAAACAAAACCACAGGAATGCTGGTAGATTTGACTATTCCCCTCAGTGTAGTTGGGTTGCTATTGTTTTAAAAAAATCTAACCAAGCGAAAGACTAAAAAAGAAAGTCTCCTGCGCTTGGCCAGCATACTATCTTTGCCCTGCTCATCTTTGAAAGCACTGGGATAAATTGAAAGAATGAAAGCAGATCTATAACTTGAGTAATGCTCATTTGGAAATCTAACACATGCAGGCACGCAATGGATAACACTTTGGCTGCAACAACGACACAGAACAGCATTTCCAGTTATGTTTGTTATTCTTTTTTTTTCTGTAGAAATCCAATTTTTGCAGTGTACATTTTTTAAAAAAATCAATGGATCACAATTTGCTCAAGACAACAAACCTGCCAACTCTGCTTATTTGGCTGGGTATGAAGTTCGCTCTCCAACCCTGGCCTATAGCACAGGGTTTGGGGTCATTCTGTCCCTGTCAGTTCCAGCAACTCAGTAGCCTCCATAAAACAAAGAGGAAGAAGTGGTAAGAATCTGGTTCAGAGTTCATTTGTGGAACACCCAACTTTGGCTTGAGAGACAACTCCCTCCCTCTCATATACCACAGCAATCTGTCTTAGAACTGTGCACAAATTGCTTCTTGAAATCCTCCACCCCGTTCATGGACAGAGAAATCAAAAGGACAACTTCTCCATTTTCCCCAGGACAGGGGAAAATCTCTTCACCAGTTTCTCAGGTGCGAGACTTGCCTTTAGCAGTGCTGGTGGCACCATTTCTTTCTTTCGAATCCTTCGCAGTGCCCCAAACCTAGTGTCATTCTCGGTTAGTGGGTACAGTGGCATAGAGGGGAGGGGTGCACAGGGGCGGTTTCCCTTGGTGCAAAAATATTAGAGGCACAAAACACCCGGTGCTGCCTCAATACAGCTGCATATTTCCGTTGCTGGGCTCCATTGAAAACAGCTTCTCCATACGAACCAGGATGTGACCTCTCCAGACAATAGAATGACCCTTCTCTTACTATCTTTGTGACTATGATCTCCTGGGTGATGTGGCTGCCAATAGGCAGTTGAATGTGCATGTGTACTCTGTCCATTTACATTCCTCCCATCCCTGCATGTGGCCTCAGGCACTGGCAACCTATGCTACACCACTGTGTGGGTGGGTGGGTATGCGCGTGCACGTGCTTGGGGCTGGCAGGGAATGACAAATTATGTAACCTGGCCCCAGCTATTCATGTGGGATTCTTTTTTGGGGGGGGGGGGGGATGCTAGCTTAATCAGCAGTAGGTGGGGGCACCTTAGCTCCCTCTCTGAAGAATCCCCTGTGCTTGCCAACAATGGAGGAAGCAACTTCAACACTGGAGAAGAGAAGGGGAAGAAAAAGCCCAGAGTCCCTTTGATAAGAATGACTTAGCAATGGGAGTCAACCAGCTGTCTGACACCTCAAAGCTCCTCACATCAGCTAATGCCTTCCCTGAAGCCTTTGCTGGGTTTGCTTGATAAGGGCACTTGAAATGCTGAAAGCTGTGATCTTGTTTAAAAGGGTCAAATAGAGCCATCTTTAGTAACATTTTCAATGCTTGGATTATTGCCTCTGAAGAGAGAGGTAAATGCCACTTACCAGTATGTTTTCCACTTCTTCCTAAGGTGTGGGTAACAGTTATTCTCTCCCCTCCACCCCACTTTGACGCCCTTCCACTTTTTCAGAGTAATCTGTTGAATGCAGAAGCAATTTTGTATTTAAAGGTGCTACTGCTGTGTGTGTGTGTGTGTGTGTGTGGTTCAGTGTGTCAAAGAGAGAAAAGGTGAGGAAGTAAATATTATGTCACTGTTCATTTGGACCACCCTCACCGAATGAAAGAGAACTGAAATGAAAACAGGGCTTTTTTTCCAGCCAGAACTCACCAGAACTCAGTTCCAGCTCCTCTCAGGTGGGCCCCATTGCCATGGAGAACAGCCTTTACCAAAGGTGTCATGGGCTTTAAAGGTACCCCTGACCATTAGGTCCAGTCGTGAACGACTCTGGGGTTGCGGCACTCATCTCGCTTTATTGGCCAAGGGAGAAGGCATACAGCTTCCGGGTCATGTGGCCAGCATGACAAAGCCGCTTCTGGTGAACCAGAGCAGCACACGGAAACACCGTTTACCTTCCCGCCAAAGTGGTACCTATTTATCTACTTGCGCTTTGATGTGCTTTCGAACTGCTAGGTTGGCAGGAGCTGGGACCAAGCAATGGGAGCTCACCCCGTCGTAGGGATTCGAACCACCGACCTTCTGATCAGCAAGTCCTAGGCTCTGTGGTTTACCCCACAACGCCACCTGCGTCCCTGTCATGGGCTTTGAAGACACTCAAACTCAGGACGCAAGGGAGAAAGGTGCTACCAGCAAGGCACATTTGGCAAATCCACACCGTGATAAACTCCCGGCCGGAAACCTATGTCCCTCACTGTGGAAGGACGTGTGGATTCAGAATTGGCCTCCACAGTCACTTACAGACTCCTTGTTAAAACCATGTTTATGGAAGACAATCTTACTCCGCTACGAGTGATCGCCAAAGAAGAAGAATTGCCATGGTGGGTTCTGGCACCTCTTTTTCTAGTAAAACAGCACTGACCAAAGAGAGCCAGAAGAGCACATTGCTCAGAATCACCAGCTAAAGCCTAGGACACGAGGGTTCAAATCCCCACTTGGCTATGAACTGTGCTGAGTGGTCTGATCACAAACTCTCAGCCTAACCTCCCTCTCAGAGTTATTGGGACGATGAAATGGAGGGAGGAAGAACCATGTACGTCAACTTGGAAGAAAGGCAACATGCAAATTCTATAACAAATAAAACAAAATAAAAATGTCACAATGAGTGGTGTAGGAGCTCCGAATAGTACAGCTCTTGCTTCTCTCTGCCTCAGCCTCTCCGGCCGACTGATGAAGCACCAGCAATAGCTAATTAGATAGAGAGGGATACAAAGCAGAGGAAGTTGAATGATCTGTAGGTGTGAGAGGTGGGGGTTAGAGTGGGATAGGACAGATCTGCTCAATCTCTAGTGTGACCTTTTTTCTGGGTAGGCACATTTTGCAAGCAGATGTCCCTGATATAATGTACGTCCGTAATGTTCGCTGATATAATGTATGTTGTGCATTATTTCCACAAGTATGCACATTTTAATGGTCACTTTACCCTAATATATAATACATAATTTGTACACATTATTTGGTTGTGCACGTCTCACGGTTCAGAAACGTGAGGATTTTGTGTGGATATGTGTTTTCCAGTTTGCATAGGGATCTAGAAAGAATCATGGAATCACAGAACTGTAGAATTGAAAGGGGCATTGAGAGCTATCTAGTCCAACCTCCCTGCAATGCAGGGATCTTTTTAATTTGGAAGTTTCACATTAAAACCAAATCCCCTGCACCAATCCCAATCTTTTGTCAGCATCTTCATTTGATTATAATTGCTGTGATCACATAGAGGTGACTGGAGAGTCTTCTCCTTTCATGATAGGAAGGGGGGTCTCCCAGGATATTCAGTCTATGAGTTGATCAGGCCATGCTTTTGGAGAGACAATGTCATGGCTAGCGGGTGTCTAGCCCAGGGGTCAGCAACCTAAGGCCCATGAGCCGGAAGCGGCCCGTGAAGGTCATTTGACCGGCCCCCGAGCTGCCCCCGAACTGAGCCACCAGCTCGTATGCGGCGCTAAACCGGCGCAGTGCAGTGCAGCACAGGGATTCGCTTCCGTGGCGCTGCAAATCGTGTCTGCGCAGATGCCAGAAATCACATCTGCACATGCACATATGCCAGAAATCATGGGCACGCACATGTCCACCTGCAATCTGGCCCATGGAGTGATCTCCAAGGACCAGATCCAGCCCAGGCAAGATAAACCTTGCCGATCCCTGGCTAGCCTATTCGCATAAGGTTACCAGATTTTTTTCAATGAATCCGGGGACACTTTCGAACTTCAGTTGATTTTGTATGGGGACCGATTTGTAAATCTGGGGACTGTCCCCGGGAAACAGGGACATCTGGTAAGCTTATATTAGCAGCTTGGCTAGTGAGAATGTTCCCTCCAGTCTGAAAACACTGACTATAGCAGGGTTAGCTGAAGCATTTGAAAAATCAAACGATGACTCTGCACTCATTTCCACCGAAGGACAACTAATGCGTTCCAAGAGGTTAATGTAATATTTCTCAGACTTTTTGCTCATTTGGTAAGTCTTGTAATGAAACCAACATTTATTTTTTAAAATATATATCAGTTCAATCGTGTATTTTTTGCAAATTGGAGCTCCCAGACTGTTATCTTGTACACCTCATTTAACCACAATTAAACTTCGTGCCTTTGTGTTCAATAATATATTAATGGACAGTTTAATAGATGCTCTGCCGTTACAATCTGCAATGCAAATTTCTCATACAATTCATGAGGATGATACCCTTTGGGGGAAAATAGAAATTGCCAGCTTAACAAAGTGGTTGGCTTCAAAACTGCTCCAGAAAAGGTAGTATAATTTTGATGGCAAACAGTGGCTACTCTTTGTATCACAGCTTATGGTTGCATTGATGATAAATATTACTAACTGTTCATGGAATTTATCCTTTGGCCTTTGCCTGCTTAATGAACACACACACAATTTAGACATTATTTTTTTTTCCAGTGTGGAGAGAGGCCACAGCTGATTGAGGGGACAAGACCAATAGTGGGTCCAATGGTCAAGAAGGCAGTTTCTGCACGTGCTGTAGGGGGAAGTGAGAGGCAAATGGGGCTCATCCACCTAGGAAGGTAGCCCATCTAGGAGAAGGAAAACTTTGATCTTACGCCTGTGCTGCATTGCAGAGACATCTTCAGGAGAAGAAAAGGCTAAGGGCTAAACTCTAAACAACTATGGAGTGGAATCCCTAAGATGGCTGGATGGCACCTGGTACGCTTCCTTGCAGCAACTCCTGCAATCAAGCTGGTGCCAAATCATCATCATCATTCATCATCGTTTTTTATTTGTATGCCGCCTTTCCACAGTTAAAAAACAATGCTCAAGGTGGCTTACAGCATAACAAGATTTACATAATTACAAAAGTCATAAACAATAAATAAACCACCTCAAAAAAATACACAACCAAATGGGAAACAATTTCCGCATAAATCAAAATCTAAAACTAAGAATACAGCATTAATACCACAGTTTAAAATGACATAGGTAAAAAATAACAGCAATCTAAACAAAAAACAAAACAAAATGGAGCCCTCTCTGCTCAGCAGCAGCAGCAGTGACAGCATTCCTTTATAGAGCCCATCAGGCCCCACCCTAGGCCAGGTGGTGAGTTGCAGGACTGGGGCCCTCAGGCACTGAGCAGGAGAGTATTGTTCTGCTTTCCGTTGGATCACACCAGTGAAGTCAAGAGAGCGGATTTTGTTGTCTGGACAGCCCAGGACTTCTAGACACACTGCCCAGGCTTGCGCCCTAGGGAGGTCACTTTAGTGCTGCTTACACAGTGTTTTGACTTTGCCCCCAGAGGCAAACTCCACTGTCTCTTGAGACAAACAGATGCCAACTACATTTTTTGATTCTTCACTCTATGGAATGAGGGATAAATCAGCTTCCTATCCCTAGTGACTCTGATTTTTTAATTTATTTTTTTAAAAGAAGCCTGCGCAACCATACATGTCTCTTTTTCTTACACTAAAATGTATGTGGGGGAGCTAACTTTCACTTAAATGCCCTAATAACAAGTCTATGAAATTCCATGGATGGGAGAAGATGTGAGGGTGAATAAAAGCGTCCCATCTATTTCCCCTTTATGTTTCCCTTCTTTTTTTTTTATAAGATATTTATTAAGATTTTCAAAATATTACAAAAGAAAAATAAAAAAAGAAAAATACAAAATAAAGATAATTAAAAACAACTCAATCTTTCCATTACTTATTTTTCATTAGCTTGTTTCCCGGACCTCCTCGCGCCTCCCTTTTTTGTGTTCCAATTCAGTTTGTTGGTTCAGCAAATCCTTCCCCTCTTTGATTATCCTAATCTTTAATCTTAAAATATTGTAACATTAGATCTTTACCTATTAGTAATCGATTTTTCATATTCCCTTATAATATTGCAGCTAAAAACCACTTAGTTTCTATCCAACATCGTTCTAACATTCATTAATTTTACAATATTTCTGTAAATAGTCTTTAAATTTCTTCCAATCTTCTTCCACCGAACCTTTATGTTTCCCTTCTTGCCTTCATTCCTCCTCTCCCTGCTTACAGTATATATTGTTTTGCTTTGCACCTTCATTAAGTGTCTTTCCCTGGCTGGGATATGCCCTCGAAATCCAGTACTGCTTCCTGCTTGCCTGGAAGGAGTGTGCATAGAAACTAGCCTGCTGCAGAAAAGTGAAATTCGCATCCATTGCTCCACCCACTTTTGTCACTGGCTGGTAGGTGGCCCCCAAGAATGTTGCCTTGAAGCAAATGTGGCCCCAGATCTGAGAGCTGTTCTTCACCCCTGCCATACAGGTATCCCTGGGCTGATTCTGGACTTAAACAATTCAAGTAAAATCACTTCTGTGCCTCTGATCACTTGAGAGACACTCTTGATAGACCCTTAGGTCAATTTCCACTTCTCACCCAGGTGCTAGGCTTTGGAATCCACCATGCTGTGCAGCAGGCAGATCACAGAGTCTCGGAAAATTAAGCCACAGTCCTGTCTTTATTGAAAAAGACAACTGTGCAGAACATGCCATGACTGATTCTTCCTCTTCCCAGCCAGCTACAGCTTACCTGAGAACCCCCAGGCAGGATTTGCCCTGGTTTTGTCAAGCAAAAGAATATGTGTTCCTAGTCACCTGCAATCTGGAAATAGACATCACTTCAAAGTCCCCCCTTCCTTACCACCTGGAAGAGCAAAATAAGCCGAGCTGATAGCCATATTGATTGGGCACGAACAACAGGATATAAGTACACAAGAAGAGCCCATCCGGATCATATCAAAAGCCGCTCTAGTTTGGAATCTTGTTTCCCTCTGTGTGGACAGTCACACACCTCTGGGAAGCCCAAGGTAAGTCCTAGGGAAGCCTAAGAGTGGCCAGTCACATGTGGGTGTAGGGGTGGGTGTAGATGCTAGGAGAGGATATAGTTATAAGGTATTATCCTTCCTTCCTCACGTTTGCGAGTTCAGCAGAGTGCCTTTGCGGCTTAAAAGGAACGCTTTGATAGGCTAGTTTTAGCCTTTTTTAAGTAATCCAGGATGCTTTAAGGCAGACTGGATTCTCCTGGTATTTCCCCCATAAAACAATAAACACACAAACAGTATTGGAAAAGGTAAAAATGACATTTACCCACTCAGAATACTTGTTGAAGAGTAATAGATACAGCAGCTTTGTTCAGGCAGGCTTAAAATGGTACCGTACTTTTCCGTGTATAAGACACCCCCATGTTTAAGACACCCCCTATTTGGGGGACTCAAATTTAAGAAAATAGGGGGACATGGCACACAGTTGTTGAGTTTTTTGGGGGGACATTACCAAGGGTTGTTGAGCTTTTCTTTTCTTTTTAAGGGCGGATTGCTGAAAACCGCTCACCCGCACGCATTGCTAAATCCACCTCCCATCTGTCCCATCACCAGCAGAAGTTGCCTATCACCCGCCCAACTGCCGGAGCATCAGCCAATCAACACAACCCATTGGCGCAGCAACCAATAACACGCACAGTAGCTGCTGACAGCCTCGGCAGCAACCAATCAAACGTCCACACTATGCACTACCCATGTATAAGATGACCCCCACTTTTTAGCATGATTTTTAAATAAATAAAACATAGTCTTATACATGGTCCAGTTTAAAATATTTTCTCACATTAGTCCAGTTTAAAATAATTTCTCATATTGCT